TAGCAAAGAATCCAGTTCATCACGACAGAACAAAGCATGTCGAGATTGACAGACACTTTATCAAAGAGAAGATAGAGGCTGAAACGATATCACTCCAATACATTCCAACCACTCAACAAATAGCAGATATTCTAACTAAGGCCATACCCAGGAAGTTTTTTGATGAACTTAATTCCAAGCTAGGATTGCTCAACATCTACAACCTAGCTTGAGGGGGAGTGTGGAAATCCGGATTCTTTGTGATCTCTAGGATCCGAATCTTCTCTGATTTACAGAGTAGTGCTAGCTGTAAAGTAATTGTAATTAGTTTCCTAGAATAGAGGATTTGGTATTCATTCACCGTTTCCTATTTTAGGTAGTTTCTAGTTTTTGTTTCTCCTTGTAATCCTATTTATTGGCTGTAATATTGAACCAGAAATAATGAGAATTTCATTCACAATTTCTCACACTTCTCCAAGTAACAAGGTTTCCTCCCACGAAGGTATAGTAACCGGAGGTTGATCTTCTGTCAGTAACACTCCCAGCCCAATCGGCATCGGTATAAACTTCTACTTGTAGATGTCCGTGTTTTTGGTACAATAGTCCCTTACCAGGACTTCCTTTTAAATACCTTAAAATCCAGTACGCAGCTTCAAAGTGTTCTGGTCCTGGAGAATGCATGAATTGGCTTGTTGTACTCACTGCAAAGGCTATATCTGAACGAGTATGAGATAAATAAATCAGTCTTCTAATAAGTCTCTGATATTGTTCCTTGTTCACCACATCTTCGGCTTTGGCTGGTTCTAACTTCACGTTTGGTTCAATGGGAGTCTCGGCTGCCTTACACATGAGCATCCCTGTTTCCTTCAATAAATCAAGCACATACTTGCGTTGGCTGACCATAGTTCCCTTTTTTGATCTTGCGAATTCCATTCCGAGGAAATACTTCAAAGGACCTAGATCTTTGATGTCGAAGTCATCTGTAAGTTTCTTCTTTAGTCTTTCCAATGCAGCATTGTCATCACCTGTTAAGATAGTGTCATCTACATAAACAATTAGAATAGCTATTTTACCATCTATTGGATGTTTGTAGAACAAGGTATGATCTGCTTGACTCTGATGATATCCATGGCCTTTTACAGTTGTCCCAAAACGTTCAAACCATGCTCTGGGAGACTGTTTAAGACCATATAAGGATATTTTTAGCTTGCACACTTTATTTTTATCAAGCTTTCCTTCAAATCCAGGTGGTAGGCTCATAAATTCTTATTCCTCTAAATCTCCATTTAAGAAAGCATTTTTTATGTCTAACTGGTGTAAAGGGCCAGTTAGCATTCACGGCTAAGGATATGAGAACTCGGATTGAGTTCAATTTTGCCACTGGGGCAAATGTCTATTGGTAATCAATCCCATAGGTTTGGGTGAAGCCTTTCGCAACGAGCCTCGCCTTATATCTTTCTATGCTCCCATCAGCTCTACATTTGATAGTAAATACCCATTTACACCCTCCTGTCCTTTTAACCCTTAGGTAAGTCAACAACGTCCCAAGTCCCACTTTTCTTGAGAGCATTCATCTCTTCCAAAATTGTTAACTTCCAATTAGGATCATCTAGAGCTTCCTTAATATTTCTTGGAACAAACAAGTCAGAAATCTTAGAGGTAAATGCTCTATGTTTTTCAGAAAGTTTTTTGTAGGAGAGATATTTGGAAATGGGATGATTGGTGTAGGTTCTAGTTCCTTTTTCTGATGGCTATAGGAATATCTAGATTAGTAGGTTCAAAGAAAGGAATAGAGTTTAGAGTGGATTTATCTGGAATTTCTGAGGGTCCATCACTCGAAGTTTTTGACTGGTCTTGTGCTAGAATGATGTGGTTCTTTTGCCTTCTTCTTTGTTCCTCTCCGAGTATAAACCAACAACTCCTTATTGGACTGTGGTATTTCTCCCCCTGTATGTGATTCATCTATGTTTGGCATCTCTTGACTAGTGGATCCATCATTTTCAAGATCTTGTACATGAATTTCTTGCTCAGACAAAACTGGAGTAGAAGTAGAGGGAGACACTGTTTCTAAGATAGTTTTAGGTAAGGATTCAGTTATCCAAAAATTATCTTCACCTTGTTGTTTCTCCCCTTGAAGAGAATTTTTGTGAAAAAACGGTGTTTTTTCCAAAAAAATGACATCCATACTAACATGTGTTTTCTTTGTTGTTGGGTTAGCATTTATATCCCTTTTTATTTGGTGCATATCCAATGAAAACACATTTTTCTGCCCTAGGATCAAGTTTGGACCGAAATTGACTAGGTAGGTGTACATATGCGGTGCAACCAAAAATTTTTAATGGTAGGTCTGTATAAAGCCTTGATGTGGGGTATTTTTTTTGAAAACAATTCAAAGGAGAGGTATATTGTAAAACCCGTGTAGGCATCCTATTAATTAGGTAGGATGCTGTTAGAACTGCATCTCCCCAAAAATATTTTGGAATATTCATAGAAAACATGATTGCACGAGCAACTTCATACAAGTGTTTATTTTTTCTTTCAGCAATCCCATTTTGTTTTGGAGTGTCACGACATATGGATTGGTGATGAATACCTTTATCCTTTTAAAAAAGGCCCAGATGCTCATTAAAATATTCAGTTCCATTGTCGGTATGAAGAATACTGAGTTTTGTTTGAAACTGATTTTCAATCATGTTATAAAAGTCTTTGAAAAGTTTTTCCACATTAGATTTTTCATGCATCAAATATACCCAACATAATCGTGTGTGATCATCAATGAAAGTGACAAACCATTTTTTATCAGATAGGGTTTTAATTCTTGAAGGACCCCAAACATCACTATGAATCATATAAAAAGGTTTTGAAGCACGATAAGGTTTTGAAATATAAGTATTTCGATGACTTTTCGCTAAAACACAACTTTCACATTGAAATGATGAACAGTCCAAATTTTTGAATAAGTCAGGAAATAAATGTTTAAGATATTGAAAACTAGGATGTCCTAGCCTAAGATGCCATAGCATTATTTTATCACAGATCGACATTGAACTCAAACCACCGAAGCTAGGAGTCCTTTTATTACTGAAGAGGTGATCATCGAAGTAGTAAAGACCCTCTATCATCCTAGCATTGCCAATCGTCTTCCCCGAGCTCTGATCCTGAAATAGGCAATGAGAATCAAAGAAAGTAACATGACAATTAGAGTCCTTAGATATCTGACTAACAAATAACAGGTTACATGTAAGTTTAGGAACATGAAGAACATATTTTAGGATAATGTTTTCCGAAATTTTTATTTGGCCTTTGCATGCAATTGGGGAAACACTACCATCTGCAATTCGAATTTTTTCACTACCAGAACAAGGTGAATAGGTATGAAATAAATGAGAGAAACTGGTCATATGATCTGAGGCACGTGAATCGATAATCCATGGTACAGTGTTTTAAGGAGCAGGAAAGAGCATTAGGATTACTACCCGTTTGAGCTAAGGAAACGCTAGGAGTACCGGATGCCGAATTGGATTTTAGCAGTTTAAGAAGCTGATTCATCTGCTCGGTGGAGAGTGAGACCGATTCTGCTTCATTTGTTGAAGGAGTTCCTCTGCTTTGTTTATCATCAGAGTTGCTGTTTTTCCAATTTGCTGGTTTGCCATGAATTTTCCAGCAAGTATCCTGTGTATGATGGGGCTTATTGCAGAAATTACACCACACACGGGTTCGTCCATCAAACCGCTGTGGATAAGCGTAGTTCTTGCGGTGGGCAGCATCAGTAGCAGCTAATGCTGGGGCCTCCAAAGGACCTGTACCAGAACCAGCAAGTCCCTTTTTTCCAAGCATGACATTATGACGTGTTTCTTCGCGTCTTACTTCAGAAAACACTTCACCAATAGGTGGTAGGGGCCTTCTTCCAATTATCCTTCCCCTAACTTCATCAAGATCAGCATTAAGACCAGCAAGAAATTTAAAAATTCGGTTATCCTCTACTACCTTTTTATAGTGGTTACAGTCCTCTGTGGAGCTCCACTCATAGTCGTTGAAGAGGTCCAAGTCTTGCCAGATCCTTTTCAGGGAGTTGTAGTACTTCGTGCCGCTGTCTTCCCCTTGTCGAATCTCTCCTAGCTTTAGGGTCAACTCATAAATCTGAGATTGATTCCCTAGAACGATACTTTGTTTTGGATCAGAAAAACAGAGTAAAACAGGGGCTGTATATTCTGTTATGATACCAAGTGGAAAAAGGTATATTTTCTGGTATATATTTCATAAGGTGTGTTACACGGTTTCTCTTATAGAAGAGAAAATACAAGAAAAGGAAACTAACTAGAATAGGAAACTAATCAACTAATTAGTCTTAAGAATCTATCAATTAATCACAACCACCTAACCTTCCTAATTTAGAGAGTTGACCTATTCTACATTTACAACAAGAATCTCATCATATTCGGTAACAGCTAGACTGAATCTTCCAACAATAGTTGACCGTGATAATTTGTGGCCAATAACATCGTGCTTTTTTGTCTGTTCAAGACAATGTCAAATTGCAATACAAAGAGTCAAAGATGATAAACAAGCAGGCACTTATGATGTCGATATATCAATTTGGAAACATTAGTGGATAAAAATGTTACTGGTGAGAATTGCATGTTTTATTTGTCGTCGCCTGATTGCTAGCATTTATTATCATTATTTTATCTGTTCGCAGATATTTTACAATTTCATGCCGAGTAACGATTAAAACAGAAGTTTAAACCAGCTGAAACAGATAAAGAAGCTCTTTACTCACCAGATTGAATGACTAGAAAGGTGCCGATTGTTGAACCTTGGTGCCGATTTACTTTTGTCAATGTAATGAAATAGTTTAGACTTTCTTGAGCGTGTATGTTGTGTGAGTTTTCACCGTGTTTTGTGTTTTGCCTTTTAAGTTTCACTGTTTACTGCATGGAAATGACTATTCGGTCAAGTTTTTATTGAAAATGATCTGTGTACTTTCATTTAGTTAGTAAACATACTTTCCCGTGTTTCAGTATGCAATCAGGGCCTCTTAAATGCTGTAAACCAATATTGAGATCCACAGTCCCTCCTCTTTGCCCCACTCATTTTCAGAAGGGTGAAAAATGTCTCATAAGGGACCTAAGAAAGGCCGGTCTTAATGTCTCTTCACTAACCAACCTTGCTCCGAAATTCCATGTCATTGTTGCCGAGTACGTCTGCCAAATCCAAAGCAAAAGGAGAGCTGCTCGAAAGGCTAGCGTCTATAAGGTGGAGCCGAAGTAGGATATGAGCCAGATGTTTCTTAGGCTTTTGTGGTGGTTGTGAAATTTCTTGATACTGCTGCATAGGGAGAGAGATTTTCTATCGGACGATAAACCGACTTGCCTCGGAGAACATATATTGTGCTTAGGCAGGAATCAAGACACTTCATTTCTTCATGACTTCTTTGCTCATTTTCACGAGGGCTTCTTTGCTGTAATCTTTTTCAGCAAGAATTGATGTAGATTGATGAATAACCTATGTCTTGACGATTTTGTTGTCTGTAATTAGATCAATGTTTTTGAAATTCTAGTCGTGGATTGTATAATCACTCATTTATGATTGTGCACAAAAAGAATGTGAAGCTTTCACCAGATGGCTGGAGAGACATGTGACTTACTGACTTCCAATGAGAACCTGGTAATTTTCCTTGGCCTATACCATGGGTTCCTCAATTTAGCAGGTGACTGAAGCAATTTAAGTAGTTGAATAATATCTGCATAGAAGATTGGCCTTTGATCTAATTGGTGATTTGGGAACACTTGATACTGGTTTGTACCCAATTAAGGCTGTTTCACTTGGCCGTCAAGCATGTTTTTTGAGTAATACGGATCTTAAAAACGTTGATAAAAAAGAAAAAAAAAGTGTTACCCAATTTTTTATTTATTTTTATTTTTTTTGATAATACAAGTGTTACCCAATTATGTTGGTCCTGTACTTGCTGAGGTTCATATTTATTTGCAGTTTCCAAATTGCAACTTACACCTATTATTTAGACAATCAGCTTCCAACTTGAATTTTGTACTTTTTTATGAATGATTGGAAGCCACTCTCTCTCTCTCAATATTTCAAACAATGGTCAAAACTTGGTCCAAGTTTTAAATATGAATATACAGCTAGATGGTTTTTAGTGTTTTATCTTGAATGGTTATCTTTTAATTATAAAGACGAGATACAAACACTAATTAGATCAGGATTTTATAACAAAACACAAGTTTTTCATCGTCAAAGTAGATGACTAATTCTTCATAGCAGTAAGAAGAACAAAAGCTGCTTCTTTCATAAGATTAATCAAGATCAAAGATGAAGAAAACGTAAAAGTCTGATCTATTTGCAGCATCCGATGTCATTATACTAATTATAGTGGTGAAGACTGTCACGTTATAACAATAGGTTTAATGCTTTTTCTCTCCTGCAAAATTATTAATCATGATATAGGGAAGAGTTGGAAACGGTGAGTAGCTATAGAAATTTAGATTTTAGATCCAAATCTATTGAGCCCTCTAATTCAAATAGAGGGAAAAGAGAAAATTTGAAACACCACTCAAAACAAAAAGAAAAAAGTATTATTTACGTCATTACACTTAAAAATAAATAATTATTATTTAATTAATAATTAGAAAATAAAAGACTACTACTTAATATTTAAATCTTGCAATTAGGCTCGGAGATTTTAGATCCAAATCTATTGAGCCCTCTAATTCAAATAGAGGGAAAAGAGAAATTTTGAAACACCACTCAAAACAAAAAGAAAAAAGTATTATTTACGTCATTACACTTAAAAATAAATAATTATTATTTAATTAATAATTAGAAAATAAAAGACTACTACTTAATATTTAAATCTTGCAATTAGGCTCGTTATTTAACCGTCTCCACACAACGCTAGTTCCACGTGGCACAAGAAGACAAAAAAAAAATTGTTGCAAAGGTAGAAGGGTTTTTGCCTGTGGAAATTTAATAGAAATTTGTCATTTTACCACGTCAAGCGGAGCCGTGTTCCTGAGTTAAATAATGGTACTGAATAGTGTTTTTGTAATTATTTAGAGGTAAAAAACAAAAATACTATTCAATGTGGTAAAAAAATATTATTTATACCACTACAGTTAAAAATAAACAACTGTAATTCAATTAATAAAGAGAAAATTAAAGGTCATAATGACATCTAATTATTTATAATGATATAAATAATGGGTCTCTATAAAATCATGACAAATTATATTCTCTCTTATTTAAAATGATATAAATAATATGTTTGTACAAAACCATGAAAAATTATGTACTTTTTTCCAGAAGAAATTTCTATAACCCCTGCAAGATTATTAGAGAGTAAATAATACCATGTCAAATCATATATTTTTTTCAGAAGAAATTTCTGTAACCCCTGCAGTTTATTGGAGAGCAACAAATCCGGTTTTTGGACCTTGATTTTTGAGGACTAACTATGAGCTTATTATGAGTAATGGTAGAATGGAAGATTTATGTAAATGTCCAAAAAAATTTTAAAATTAAATACTGATTAATTAACTATTTAAGTCAATAATTTTCTTGGTAATGTCACATTTAATATTCCTATGTTGCTATATTTTCTCCACCAAAGAGGAACATTAAAAAGTTAATGAAAGCCAACTAGTTGGTGCATAGTTTGAAGTGGACATGTAAGAAAATACTTGAGAGAGTTTGATGTCATTTTCACTAAATTGAAAAGAACTGGTAGTTTGAGGTTGATAAATTTCGTGCGTCTTAAAGTCCACTCATGGTCTAATGCCAGAGCAAATTTTTTGGTGGATGTAATATGTTTTTGCATGCACACACTACTCCTTTCAAAAAGAAAAATTCTTATCCCAATAGGTTTTAAGTTGTCAACAAACTAATTTATATTAATTATGCTTATAGAGTATCTAAAAATACTGCCCAAGTATCGTAGGACCATTATATTAATTAATGTCAATTGATGTTACCATTATTAATTAATATTAATTATCATATGACCACTATCTTAATTAATATCATAGGACCATTATATTAAGTTTATCTCTTAGATTCTATAAATAAATATATTAGTGATTGTAATTTTATTTAGACAGTTAATTAATGAATGGATATTGAGTTTCTAATTTGTTTTCTCTTGAATTTTTATTCTCTCTCGTGATTCTTCTTCTTTATTAGAGTTCTATTTCTCCTCTTGATTCTCCCTTCTTCTCTCTAAATTCAATCTCAATTCTCTATTCTCTATTCTATCCCATCCTACACATATTGGCATCATAGAAATCTCATTTCCTTTGAACAAAACTATCTTTTTTTTGTTTTTTGTTATTTTTTTTTGTTTTTTGTTTCCAAATACAACAAACACGCCCAAAGTCCAAAAGCAACACAAATACCCATTTATCTGTGCTACTCGGGTTTCGTTTAATTTAATGTTTTTAATGAAAAAAAAAGAAATAAAAATAAAACCTAGGGTGAAATCGTGTCTTCCCATTTATTGCACATTAGTGAAACGTTGTCTTTTCACTTGTGTATTAAATAAAATAATAATAAAAAATTATCAGGATAGGGTTTGATATTTTTCTTTTAGATAGGATGGAAGAGTACTGGAGGAAAAAGAAAATGAAAGGCTTAGAGAGTAGAAAGGAACAACCATTTATTGGGCAGTTCGATTTTACTGACTGACGATACTACTGACCATCAATGATTTTTTATTGGTCCAATATTAATGGGTCCTGCTCCCGTCCATTTCGGTTAACCTAGCTATAAATCGCACCGAACCTTCAATATTGAAGTTCAAATTCCCTAAGATATTTAATTAGGTTAACTTTGTCCCCATGTTGAGAAATATTTAATACGTCGTTGAGCTTTTGCATTAACACCGATTGTTACTTGGCACTTCCCTTTATGGTCAATGAATATTTGATTAAGCATCAAAATCAGAATGGACATGAAAAAATAAGATGCTTTTCGTATAGTGATTAAAAAAAGAGTACAGAATAAGGAAATTGCTTAATCACTTTCTTTTTTGTCGGGATTTATGCGGTTAAAGATATATAGTGATGATCAGAATTTATATTTTCGGACATTAAATGATATGTGTCGAATCTAGCATGATCTATTGAAAGTGTGCTTCACAGTTATTAGCGACGACTTTATCGTTGATAAAATTACCGTATTAGCGACGACATGTCGTCGCTTAAAAGAAAACAAAATTTTTGAACGACTTGTCATCGCATTCCATATTTACGACGACATGTCGTTGAACAAACTTTATATAATTACGACGACATGTCTTCGCTAAAATGGAACTCCATATTAGCGATGACATGTCGTCGCTAATAACCATTGGCGCCAAAACCAATCTGGCGCCAACAATTTTGGCACCAGTTTGTACATTGTTTTGAGGACATGTCGTCGCAAATATTGATGGTTACAGCTGGCGTTGACGTGTCCAAAAAGAGGCAGGAAATTTGACGCTTTCCCACGAATAGGTTCCAGATATTTCTTTATTTTTTGCGATGACTATGCAAAACGTCGTCACAAAAAATGATTACAGAAAATTCTTTTCAAAACGATTTTTTCGCAACGACACGTGTCGTCACAAAAAAAGGTTCCAGAAAATTCTATCAAGGATGACTGTTTTTTGTGACGACACGTGTCGTCGCAAATAACTGGGGATTTAATTTTGCCCCCAAAAAAGGGCGGAAACGTTGGCGGTTTCCTGAAAATTATTTGCGATGACATTGTTAAAATGTCGTCACAAAAAAGGAACCAGGGTATATTCCTCAAGAATATTCTCAGAAATATTAATGAGGTGAAGAAGAACGCAGTTGTTTTAACATTAATTGCAACGATGATTTAACGTTTTTTGCGACGACATAATGTCGTCGTAAAAAATGGTATGTATAAACGTGATGCTAGACCTTTTTCCGCCATTTTTTCCGGTGAGCTCTCAGTTTTCTTGCTTCCTCTCCGTCCAAAACCACCCCATTCCATCCAAAACCTTCAAAAAAAGCTTAAATACTTCATTCTCTCTTCAAATCATTCATTTGTACCGAAAAATATTGTGAAAAAAACTGAAGAAAACGGTGTTTTTTCCTCACCGTCGCCGCCCTTTAATCTGGCCGTCACCGCCCATATTCCGGCCGCCGTCGCCCTCCCACTTTGCTGCTTTACTGTTCTCCAAACCCCGGTATTTGTGGGTTTGGATTTTGTGAGTTAATATTTTAGTATTTTGTTAATTTATTTTGGTATTTTTGTTATGGTTTATAATTTTGTTTTTGATTTTAGATATAGTTTGTGGTTTTTAATTTAGAATTATGAATTTTAAATATGAATTGAAATTGAAATATGTGATAATTAGATTAAAATTTGTATAAAATTTATTTAATGATTATCATGTGATAATTAAAAAATTAGATAAAATTTTTAATTAAGATTATATTAATACTAAAATAATTAAATAAACTAATGTTAAATACTTCTTATAAAATAATTTGTGTTAATTTTCATAAAATTTGATAAAACTTTATAAATGCTTCGTAGTGGAGATGCCAACGGACAAGAGTTGGATACATTTAAGGAACCGGTTGTCTGATGAGTAATGGGATGGGTTATGTGCTTTTATTGAGGTTGGAAAGAATTATGCAAATGAACTCGGGCGTATTAGT